GTCTCTATTTTCTTTACATTCTGTTCTTAGGGGTCTGATATTAGGATGTATGAAAAGTGTTTACAGAGTTCGCGTTTTGTTCCTGGAGAAGTTCTCTAGGACTCTTGTATATATTTTACAAGCTTATGTAATACGCCAGAGAGGAGATGTTCGGGTAGTGTAAAGGTTATCGGTAACAAAAGTGAAAAGGGTGAGTTGAGCTTAAATCCCAGTCTAGACTGTTACATTCATTTTCGCATCAATGCCCATTGGAAGACAGGTATCCATCTCTTCTACTCAGCTATGGGTTAATTAACAGGTAGCCTGGAATATCTGACACTGAATTACAATCAGCCTAGGTAAAGAAAAATCCTGAATACAAAACCATGAACGAGACATCGAGAAATCACTCCACTCTGTTTATTAGGAATCCAAGACATTTCATAGCGAATAAAGAAAAGTGATCTGTGACCGATTAAAAATATTCTATATATGATATCTATCATAATATTTACTATTGTGAAGATTTTTGAACGATCGCACTTGGATACAACTTTTTTTTAAGCATTTAACCCCAAGCAAGCCGGGAAGCCCCTAGCACGCAAGGGGTTATAGAGAGTTGGAGCGAGAGCAAATAGGAGTGATAGAGGAAAGGATGAAGAGAAGGATAGGGGATAGATCAAGGCATCTGGAGACGTCAGTTGACATTACATTTGAATAGTTGGAGATTATAGCTATCAGGGAAACATGGAGGAAGTTCCACAGGCGAGAAGTGCGAGACATGAAGCTATTGGAGTAGAAGAAACGACAGCTACATTTGACAGTTTCGACAGTGAAAGGATGAGAGCAAGATGCCAATCTAGTTGAACGCTTAAATTCATGAAGTCTGGGAACCAGCGAAAGCAGCTCCTCGGAGCAGTTACCGTGAAAGTATTTGTAAAAAAGACAGAGGGAGGCAACGGCACGTCTGTGAGAGAGCGACTGCAGACGAGATGCCAGATCAGGACCAATTACATTGCATATCCGTCTCTGGATTTTATCAAGGAACTTGACACAAATAGAAGGGGCTCCAGACCATATATGGCAGCAATACTCCATGCAAGGACGAATGGTTGATTTGTAGATTTGAAGGATTGACTCCGGCGAGATAAATTTCCTGGCGCGGCACAGGGAGCCAACTTTCCTTGCGTTGGACGAAGCTATTGACTCAATGTATTTGTTCCATCTCAGGTCAGCAGACAATGTGAGACCGAGCAGTTGCAAAGAGGTGCTCTCGTGGAGTTGAACGTCAGACATTCTAATGGTAGGCAGGGATAGTTCTCTGTGGTGAGTAATAGAGAACAGTTTTGTTTTTGAGGCATTAAAGTTAACCAGCTAATTCCTGCTCCAGTCCACAAACGATTGGAGGTCCTTTTAGAGACAAACGACCAGGTTAGTTTTGTCAGCGAGGCTAGATTTGTTTATCTCTTTCTTATTTTAAAGCTTCTTAATCGACAACTCATTGCCGTTTATGTCTGAGTTTTATTATCAAAAGAATACGTCAATATCCTTAAAGAATCTTTGGGTTGGACAGCCATATATTTTTTCGCTTCCTTTCACCTCCAGACAGCTTCTATTGTTATCAAGTATATTTTGATTAAAAACTGTCAGAATCTAAATACTTGTGTAGCAAACCTCGCACCTCTAATCATATCGAATATACGTCAGTAAAGGCAAGAGCAGGGTTGACTTGAGATAATCTCCAAGCTGCATCTGGTTTTTCAACGGCGTGACAGAGACAGGTATATAAACATCCACCGAAACGGTAAGGAGCAGAGAGCCTCACAGATATCGCAGGCGAGAATGTAAGGTTTAGGTTTCGGATGAAAGTAAACTCCCACACACACTGACCAAGAATAATTGACACCATTGGGAGGTTACATTTATTCCATCGTCTCTTCCACTTCTTGCACAAGACGTGAAGATGGACATTCGGGATATTAAAAAAGGATGGATCCCTTCAAGACAGACCTCATATATTATAAAGGCTAGTAAGGTGTATTGGGTGGGCGGGTAACGGTTAACAAGTCGGTTAACAAAAATTCTCGATCCGAGTTCAATTCTGATCGAGGGAAGATATTAGTCCATCTCTTCTCTGGTTAAATATCAGAGCTGACAGAGCTCTCTTACATTGACGTAGTAACAAGTCTAAAAGTAGGAAAATTCTGAATTCATCATGAAGAGAAATGGACTTCTTTTGGATTTTCTTACTCTAGCCACCCACACCAATGTAAATGGTTGTAGTAAATTTGGTACCTCGCCGACCATTGTATATATTAATACCATCAACCATTCAAACACCGAATATTTATTCGTGTCTAGGTTCGAACATTGAACGCGGTTGAAAAAAGAGCATATTTCTTTCTTCAGTATGATGACTCAAGTTTCAGTTTCGATATTTATTAAGCGTAGCTTAGTCTGGCACAAGGCCACAAATGCGGAACATTGAAAAGGTTACTAGAGTAGTAATTTTGCTTCTCTGCCTTGATAATTACTTACCGTTTCTCTTGGAGTGCTTCAATCGGTATAGACGATATAAAAGACTCCCACGATAAGAGTTCAAATATCGTCGAAGGCTATATTTTTTATTGCCAATTAATGCTGCTTATTTCAATAGTCGTTTAATGTAACGACCTGCATACTGCGATAAAAAAAATCAACATTAAATTATTGAGTCGTAATAAAAGTTCGTAGCGTTTTATAACTGAATTTCAAAGAGAATATTTAGATATTTGTACCTAAATTTATTCAGCCATATTTTTTAAAATCATTTCACCCCGAGTAAGGCAATAAAGTCACTAAGATGTGAAGGTTTACTGGGTGGTAGAGAATATGAAGAAAATACAACGAGAGAGAACAATAAAAGAACAAGAGTTAAGAAGACAGAAGATAATGTTTGACATTTCATTTAAATTTTTGGAGATCAATGTTGAATTGGATGCAAGAAGCCAGAAGAGAGTTCCATAAGCGAGAAGTGCCAGGGAAGAAACTATTAGCATAGAACTTACGGTTACATCTACACATTTCAACAGTAAAATGAAAACATTCTCGGTCTTCCAGATCAAAATCTCTGAATTTTACTTCTGAATCTAACGAACGATTCTGAAACAGTACACTTAGGCATAGAAACATCTCCATAAACGTCACATATCTTTTCTTGTTGTTTTAACAGCATTTTTCCTCCCAGGAGATAAAAGAGTATGCATCGCATTTTCCTCTATTTTCAATTCTGAACGAGCAAACATTCAACGTCCACAGTTCACACACGTACCATACAGAAAAAAAAACGCGTTGAAATCTCAACTTTCTGAATGCGTATAAAAATTTCAGTCACGTGCGGAACTAAATCATGCGTTCAAATGCTACCTATTGAAAAACGCTACGGACTATTGTTCCATCCCAGTGCTTTAGCCATTTCTTTTGGGAGGGGGGATCAATATACATTCTGTTGTGAAAGACAGCAATTCATACTAAGCTTATTTATAAGTGAGTAAGTTTAAAGATAAAAAGTACAAAAGACATGTGGAATATCAGCCTACTTAAAATGTTAATGATGGTTTTGGATTGCAATGTTATGCAGATATTTAATAAGCTTAGTTTAGAAAATAAACGTGGTTTTTATCAGGACACGAATTTAGACTAATGATCTTGTTGGAAAACACGTCAATGGGCAAAACGAGAATCTAGATTTATATTGGGACGTATCAAAAGTATTTACGCATAAAGTCTATCACATGCACACATCTAAAGACTATAAATACACGACATTATTATTATTAATGGTATATATTAGAGTGTATCAAAAGTATTTTCGTTTTTATAGACCTTTACTGTAAAGCTTATTTCATGTATACATCTATCTATGACTCTACTGTATTATTATTATTATTATTATTATTTTTATTTTGTTTGATTTCTGGCGTTTACACATTTCTTTCCGGGTCCCGCCCAGGGACCTAAGGTTAGAAATGGCATCATGACACTTTCCACTGACAAAAAAAAAAAAAAAAAAATTACATAGATAAAGCCCTTCGTAAAGTATGGGCTGTACTTGTCAGAACAATTTTTTGTATCTCCTTGAGGCATGGACTTCCAGGAATCCCTTCAATTAGTCTACTGCAATCTTTTCCAACCAGTCCTAGAGCTCCAACTACAACAGGGATTGTTGATGTTCCTATATGCCACATTTACGAGATTTCTATTTCGAGGTTCTTGTATTTTGACAGCTTTTTTAATATCTTCAAAGGTACATTGCAGTCAGCAGGGACTGCCATATCAATAAGGATTCACCGTTTTTGTTTTTGGTCTTTAATAACAATATCTGGGCGGTTGGCTTTGATTGTTC